AGCATGGTTTGTCCATTGCGCTGTACTTTTTGAACTATGACATTATATGAACATAACATTCCATCTTTAACAATATCATTTATATAAATTACATCATTTTCAATCCAATGTTTAAAAAATAATGGTCTATTATACATTGTAATACTTTTATTATTCCATATTATAGCTTCATTGCAACTATATTCATTGGTTTGTAACCACTGTTTTAAAATATTCTGATAAAAAGGACTAAGTTGATCTGCTCCACAAAAGTTTTCAGCAGTTATATTACTGTTAAAAACGCTCAAATTTTTACCTAATTTGTTGTACATATAATGTGGAACATATCTCCAATGACCTTGTCCATTTTCTTTTAGCTTTTTAATCCATTTAATACAAAAAGCAGCTTGCATATCCTTAATGTCTATCATGTTAAGACCACCATTCTGATGATTCTGCACAATAACATTTCTTTTGATCTTCTCTGGCACTTTTCCAATATCAGTTTCTTTAAATCGGCCTTTTGCCCACAAATACTTAAACATTAATTTGTTGATTCTATTTAACAGTATGTCAGGCAAAATGAAAGCTTGCATTAAATATGAAAATTGTGCTAAAATTAATGACTTAACAATCGTAACTTTGCCTAATAATGTTAAAATTCTCATATTCCATGTTTTAATTACATTTTCACACTTAATAAACTTACTTTCAATATTAACATTATTGTTTATCACATCTGTACTAGGTGAAAAGGTGATGCCTAGAATTGTTACACAGTTATCTGGGATTATTTTCCAATTTATATCACCTATTTTATATATTCTTGTTTTCCAGCTGCCTAACCATAATGCTTCAGTTTTTGATTTATTTAATTGTAAGTTTGAAATTGTGGCAAATTGTTCAAAAATATTCATTACTTTTTTCATAGAGGCTTCGTCTTTTAAGAACACAGTCGTGTCATCAGCAAACTGCACAATTTTTACATCTTCATCAAATGTTGGAATGTGTATTCCTTTTACATCTTTTGTTTGCCTAATTTTACATGATAATAGTTCACATGCAATGATGAACAACAATGGAGATACACAGCAACCTTGCCGTATTCCTCTCTCTAGCATGACCTCACCAAAAATCCAACCATTATTAGAAATACGACTTACACCATTTTTACATATTATAGACACCCATTTAACAAGAGAATCACCAAAACCAAACATTTTCAAGGCTTCTAACATAAATGGCTTAGAAATTGTATCGTACGCTTTCGTAAAATCTATTGCTATAAGTATTCCTCCTAAAAGATTAGTATTAGTGAAATTAATAATATCATCTATAGCTCTGAGTACCAGAGCGGCACTTCTTCCTTTTATATACCCGCATTGATCTTCATGAATCACAACTTTTATTACCTTTTTAATTCTTAGTGCTAAAATTTTTGCAATAATCTTGTAGTCAACATTTGTCAACGTCAATGGTCTCCAATTTCTTAAGACATTTCGTTCTTGATTTTTTTTCGGAATTAGAACTATTAATCCAGTTTTCTGACTTACTGATAATTCACCTTTTACATATGCAGCATTTGTACAGCTAACTAATAACTCACCTAATCTATTAAAAAATACTTTATAAAAGGCAGCTGTTAAGCCATCCAGACCCGGACTTGCATCGTTTTTCATATCTTTTATCGCTAATATACATTCATCTCTACTTACAAGTCCTTCACATGAATTTCTTTCATTTTCATTTAATTTTGGTACCTGTACATCCTTTAAAAAATCATGAAGTTGTGCTTTTCTAAATACTTTCTTCTCAGAGTACAAATCACTATAAAATCTGTTTATTTCACTTGCAATAATATTTTGATCTGTAGTTATATTACCATTATCTAATTTTAAGCTGGAAATATGTTTTTTCTCAGCTTTTGATTTTTCCAATTGAAAAAAATATTTGGTACTTCTTTCTCCCTTTTCTAGCCAATCAACTTTAGCTCTAGTGGCTGCACCTGAACATTCTGCCATCGAGACAACATCAAAAAATAGCTTACATTCATTTACCTGTCTATTGAGTTCTTCATTTTCTGGATTATTTACAAGGTTTTTGCATGCCATTTCTAATTTTAATTTTGCTATTTTCACCTGATTTTTGGTTTCTAAAGCCTTCTTTTTACCATATACCATAGAATAACCTTTAACCTGTACCTTAAAATAATCCCACAATAGTTGTCTGTCTGTAATTTTGTCTTTTGATATATCTAAAATAAGATCATTTATACCATTTAAAAATTCTATATCTTTCAGAAAACTATTATTGAACTTCCAGTAAGATGGGCCCTTTACATTTTTTTCATTATTAATATTCATTGTTACAGCCCTGTGATCTGAATTTGGCATGTCCATTATTTCACAGTTTGAGACTTTATTGAACAGTTTTTCATTTACAAAAATGTAGTCTAATCTTCTACATATATGTTTAGACTTATGTTTCCATGTATAGTTTTTTTCATCAATATGATACATACGCCATATATCAATCAACTCTAACTTTTGCGTCAATTTATTAAAACCACTTATCTCATTTTTCATATGATTTTTCCCAGATATATTATCCATCTCAGGGTTTACAACACAATTAAAATCACCTGCTAGTATAAAATTCACGCTCATGTCATCGCTATATTGTTTTAGATTTTCTAATCTTTTAAAGAAATCAATTTTTTCTGCATTGTCATTTGGTGTATAAACAGAAACACATATATATTTTTCACCATCAGTCTCAAATTGAATTCCGAGTACTCTATTTTCTTGTTTAATGATAGTCAAATTTTCATAAATGAAATGTTTTCTCAGTAAAATGATTTCACCTCTACTATGATTAGTTCCCTGGTTTATGAAAACATTTCCACGCCATTCTCGTTCAATAGTCTCTTTTAAGTCATTGGTCACAAATGTTTCTTGAAGCAAAATCACATCTGCTTCAATAGATTTAATGTACTGAAATAGTGTGTATCTGGTCTTTTTTCTTCTAATTCCTTGGACATTTCCAGAAAAAAAGTTAATCATGGATTTGATTGTTTATAATTGTTTATTCTTCTTTTTCAGCATCAGCACAGCAAGGGGGCTGCTCTTTTTCCTTTTCAGCTTTCTTGTTTTAGGTGTCACTGTGGGGGTTTCATCTTCCTCTTCTACAGACTCATCTTGATCAAAGACCTCATCATTCTGCTTTCTGCTCTCTTTCTCAACTATAGGAGTATTTTGAGCGACTGAGTTTTCTGCCTGCTTGCTTGTAAGGGCGAGAGGCTTAAACGATGCATCATGTTTTGCACTTATGTTTGCATCAATGAGTTCTTCTCTAGCCTTAAGAGGGCTTGTTGGTTTAACAATCTGCTTCATGGGTATAGTAGAAGTGGGGTTCTCTGTTGTCCATGGACTTGCTTGAAGCGAATTGCAAGTAAGATCATCTTCATTATCATTAGCCCAATTGTGGCTTTCATTCTCAGTATTTCTGTTTGGTGTGTTTATCTTTAGGTAGCTATCCACCATCTTGAGAAGTTCTGGAGAGTTTGCCGTTCCCTGGGGTTCTAGAGCATGATCTAATAACCGTTGCATCACACTTGTTCCTTCCATGTCGTTTTGATCGGTTCTTTCTTCTCTTTGAGTACAGTCTGCTTTTTTGTGGTTGGACTCGCCACATATCCAACAGGTTTGTGTATACTGTTTCTTTCTAGGGCATTTTTCTTTTTTGTGGGTTTCGTCTCCGCACAGGAAACAAACTTGTATCTGTTTTTCAGGGCAGTCTTGAACCTGATGATTTCCTCGGCATATCTTACAGTTTATTTCCTGCTTATCATGATACAGAGTCACATTCACTTCTACCCTTGTTGCGGTGTTTAAAGGGTCTGCCATTGTATATACTGTGTATCGTGGTTGTGGTTTTATAATTTTCTTGGCATAACAGTAGCGATGCCCAGTTAACACAGAAAAGGATTTCTCCTTTGGTCCTCCTTTGTATTTTGAGTGCCATTTTACCTCCGTCGAGCGCTCTGCAAAATTATCGACCCATAGTTCAATATCCTTATTTGGCACATGCAATGGTATCCCATGTATTGATATACGAATGTCCCTGGTTCTTGGCGCTAGAACCTGTTGTGTGAGTGAATAGTCAGTTACTGCAAATTCCTTTCCTTTAACGGATACATACCCTATCGACAGGATAGATGTTTTAGCTGCGATGTTTTTAGTATATATAATGTACGCCATTTTGAAGAATTGGACTCCTAGGATATCATTCACACTGATTGTTTCCTTTCCTATCTTTTTATTTACATTATTTACAATAGTTTCTACTAGTTCCACTTCTGTAAGTCTATCCATTCCTCTCGATTCCATCTTAATCCAAAGTTTAGTGTCAGCCAACATTTTTTGTATGTCTTCAGTATCCATCTTTCATAGGTAAGATTCTGTATTACATTTCAGTGTGACTGTTTTTGCTTATTTATTTATCCGTGTTGTCCTTTCCACTAATTGGTACAGGTATTTGTACACTATACAGCTATGACCTACTTAATGTTTTTTATGTGTACACTGTATTGCTAAGTAGCTCCTAATCAGGTACTGTGACTGTTTGCTATATAAATATCCTTTACTTCTGTACATAAAATGCGTTTTTTCTCCTTCAAATATCTCTTTCAGTTCTAAATGTTTTCACTGTATTTCTGACTATTTATGTTCCCTGAATGTTTATAATCAACTGTTGTTGCTTTAATATATGTATCTGTAAGTTTAACTGGAGAAAATATCAACTTTTTAGGAGCAAACTTTTTATGACTTATTCATATAACCTTCATGGAATCTCATGGAATTTTGAAGGAGTGGATGTCTGCAAATTCGTCCATAGTTTCAATAAGCTCCAAATAATCTAATGTATTTTGGTAATGAGTTTTAAAACTGCGCAAAATGACCATTATGTTCCAAATTCTTTACTGAGTTGTCGGAACCAGGAGTCAATAACAATATACATGATGTCCATAAAGTCTCTTGACACTTTATAGACTTTGTATTAAATGGTCCCTTTACAGTTACGATTCAATGTATTGTAGTTTTAGAGACTTTATGGATACCCTGTATTATGATATCTATACTTCGGTGAGATAGAACGGGACATAATGGTGAAATGGCCCACGTTAACATAAAGAATATCTTTCAAATCATTTTAATAGGCGTTGTATTTTTTGCAACAGTCCATTTAGATTATTTCCAACCATTCCTTTGGAAATCTGGAAATAAACAAAGAATGATAACAGCAATATTAAATTTCATGTAGTTTTATTTTTATAACTAACTGACAATTCGTGTAATTATGATTAAAGATGAAAATTATAAACAAAATATATCTTTCTTTGTAGATTCACCTCTCAGGTACATGTAATACATTAATGGACTTCAGTTCATTAAAACTTCGAAAATAAATGATTATTATAGGAACTGGAATTATTTAAAATATATCTATTTAGATCATTAATACATTATTTAAACAATCACAATTTAAAACCTTAAAACGCTTTGATAAAATGCGAAAATGGCCTATGTCCAGTAATCATATTTACATGTACAAGTCTTATTAAATACGGTAATACCTGCTTGGCATGTTTACATTTTGCAGGAACTTCAAAAACACTAGGATCCTTTATTCCAGCAGTTATGTTGTGAGCTTCAACGTTCCAAATCATCGCCACGCTGTCTAATTCAGCACCCCCTAACACTAGCTGCATACCTATAGGAACACATTCTGGAAATAAAAACATTTTTTAAGGAGGTTGTGAATCCGGCTTAACTTGAAGGTCAGTGATTGTCGGTTAGTCTTAAATGTTTTTCTAAGCCATTTAGCTCCTCCAACTGGATATTTCAATATTGATTTTAATTTATTCGAGCGGTCAATAATATACAATATTGTTGACCTCTTCAGAGGTCAACCGGCAAAATTGTATGCCGAGACGGTAAACCGAGAAACTACTGTTGACAGAGACCTACGGTCCCTCAGGTATATATTGTAATTCCCTCAGATATACCCTGTATCAAAAACCTCCCATTAAATAACCTCTATACAGTATCATTTTAGGAGTGTGGGGAGTGGGGACATGCTACCATCACAGCAGCCCACTTACCAGACAGCCCTGACTTTGAAACAGTTGCTCTTGTTTTGAAGCCCAGTCCAGGCATGATGTAGGAGTAGATATCCACTGGTAGTGTCACACCCTCTCCCCCTAGTGTTGCACTTCCCTCAAATAAGGCATCACCTACATGCAAAATTACATAGTTATCCACTGTTAGTGCTACACTCTCTCCCCTTGTATTGCACTTCCCTCAAACAAAGCATCGCCTACATTCTGAAATCAAAAACACCAAGACCAATTAATATTTCCTAAGAACATGATATTATGTTAGTCTCAGATATTACAAAACACAGCACTGTTCCAGGTCTTTAGCCAAGGGGGGGGGGGGGCTTTCCGGATATCCCCCGCCCAGAAATTATTTCAAAATCATGCAGTTTTTCACCATGATTTTGAGCACATTGTGCATGGATTTTTAGCGAAAAGTGTAATCCCCTTGGCAAAAGCTCACCTCTTGGTAAAGCCTGGCTACGGACAAGTATTCAAATGCACATTATTTTTAGAAAGTGCGCATAATGTGGTTGTTGTTTCCCCATGTTTGATTGAGATCTTACATCTTTCTTTTTTCAGTCTTGCTGGCAAATCGACGTTCCTCTTTTGACACTTGTGCTTGGACATAACTGTCTCAAGGACATATAACTAGTCTTGCTACATGCCTTGGTGATCCCCTCAACTTGTCACCTTATCACACAGCGCAATGTATTATAGCTAGCAGGCCCGTAGCCGGGGGGGGGGGTCAACATTTCTTTCAAAATCATGCAGTTTTTCACCATTCTGACTATTGTTTGAGTGATTTTGGGCCAAATTTGACAAAGTGAGCCCCTCCCCTAGAATTTTCTGGAAAAGTGAACCCCCCTTGGAAAATTCTGGTTACGGGCCTGATAGCTAGACTAACATGACATACCTGGAACACATTGTTTCGTCATGTTGTCGATCTGTGACTTTTGACAGCCATTGATGTCATCGATCTGGTACGATACATGCTGAAGAAAAAACATTACCACAATGTTAAACCATATTTCGACTCTTTGGGAACCTTCTTTGTGGATCCCTATTGCATTGATTAAGGATTCGCTTTCTATTTGAAATGTTTTGAATTTGCAATAGAACGTTCTTTTCTATTTACCCCCAAAGTGTAACCTTCAAATGTTTTTAGCTTCTTGAATTGCAAATTAATGTCTTGATTGTTAGTTTTTATGGTGTATTTACCTTAACATAATCATTTATGTAAGTGACGGTCTGTTCCCCAGGCCGGGGAATAGGTGGACTTTTTGATATAACTAGTTTTGTCCTCTTGTTAGTGTAGTCATAGCTCACGACTGCGGTTATATTATTAACTGCCATAGCTGTTTCTGGCCGTGTCCTCCCTCCCCCGGGTAGATTAATATTTCTACGCAGAACGGCATCCCTGATAATCACACCATCGTCCACTAAGAGTAACCCCTCCCATTGGTCCTGTGTGCAGCAAATGGGATCCAGAGCGGCCACGTCAATCAACAGAATCAGAACACTAAGAATTATATTCAGAAAATGCATATTCTGATATTGTACATGTACCAGTATCTTATTTGATTTAACAATGTTCTGTGAATGATTGGAGTATATTAGGTCAAAACAAATTCGACTTTAGAATATCAAATTATCATTTTATCTGTTTTACAGTGTTTATTCCATATGAAAATCGTATATCCACTAGACAACAACAACGCCAAGGAGTGGCAAATCCCATTAAACGGCCAATGCCATCCTCTTTACAAAATTGCTTCACTACGATTTTGCTGGTAACTGTATTAAACAAATTGCTTTCCAAAATGGTCACTTTCTAGCAAAATTGTCAATAAACAGTGAACCATGCTTATAAGTAGTCACATATCGAAAACAGTGTGCCGTGCATCAAATATCAAATGTGAACAAAATCGCTTAGATATAAGTTTTCAAATTATGGTTAAAAACGTAAAATAACACACGTAAAAAATGCGGCCATTTTCAAAATGGCCATGTACAAGCTAAAGTGTCCTACAACGGACATGGTTATAAGTCATCATATATGAACAAAATCATAGGCCCGGGAACATGTATACTTGATGTATTCGACTCGATCTTTTTTATACATTAATTCAAAATTACATACAATTTAAGGCCGGATGTATTACAATTTTGTCTAAAATTAAAATATAAGGCTCAAAAAGGCCAAGTAATGCCCCAAAAGGCCCACTAATTGAGGCCCTACAAAATGTTGGGCCCCAAAATGTTTTGGGCCTAAAGCATTTTTTAGTGTTTGGGAGGGGGGCATTGTGTAAATATCCAGGGATTCAGTGTAGCATGTGTTCACAGTTTCAATTTGCAATACGATAGGCATCATTGCTGCAGCAATGTACCAGGATCTCTAAAGTTATTGATTTAAATATTGCAAGGGAATGATTCTGAGACCGATACACGAGCCATCTATACTTTATTCCTATTAAATCTTCAGGCCATTACTACTTCAGATATAGCTTTAGTTTCGTATCTAGTTTCAAATAAATGCTGACTTATTTTAGACGAGTTTATACTAATGCCTTCATATTGCGGAGCTTGTAACTTGTTTAATTTTGGCTTGTTTACTTTGTGACTGATAAGCATTCAATAATAAACAAACTAATCACAGTATAGCACAAAGGGGCCATAAAATTGACCTCAAGCTCTGAATGTGTTCCATCACATCTTATCAATCAATTAAGTTTAATCATATGATGATGTCAAATATACGCCATCGTAATTTCTAGTAATTTCGTAAATCAACTTCCCAACTATTTACTATCTCGGTAAGTTCACACACATGATGGTTGACGTCGTTTTTAATTCAACTGACAAGATATCAATAAACTCTCGCCGTAAAGTGGCGACATCTTAAAAATAATTTTGAACATAAAAATAAGCTAGGTGCTACCATCTATCAATAACGAATAAACTAAGTTAATAGTTGTATTTAGGTGTCAAGTTTAGTGCTACCATCTATTAAATCAAAAATAGGCTTAGGCACTATCGACATCTATATATTTCTATACGAAATGTATTTTTGTGTCAAGAATGTATATGTTGGGTCAATGACTAGTGCATTCGATGAATAACTCTTAAAAATACAATAAAACTACTGGAAATGCTGTTTTAAAACTAAAGAATGAATAATTGTATATAATGGAAAAGAAACTCAGACCCCAACAAAGCCACTTTCCTGCATTCGATGAATAACTCTTAAAAATACAATAAAACTACTGGAAATGCTGTTTTAAAACTAAAGAATGAATAATTGTATATAATGGAAAAGAAACTCAGACCCCAACAAAGCCACTTTCCTACTCTGGAATACTTACAGCCCATTTCATTGTTTTATTTCGTCAGTAAAACCAAAAAATAAGAAAACAAAAGATCATTGTGCAATAATATATGGAAAAATATATTCCTATTGTACATAAATGACATTTGTATATCTTGGATTGCTTCAAGCTTGGCTAATAAAGTATGTGGCCTCTTATATTTTGATGCTTCTCTGCCATAGTATTTTCAAAAAGATTAACATGGCTGAAATTCTTTATATTAAAAGAGGGCATGGGCTTATTGCACAAAAAACTAAATAATCTGAAATATTCAAATGTCATTCATGTACAATATGAATATACTTTTCCATATATTATTGCACAATGGTCTCCTGATTTCTTATTTTGGGGTTCTACTGACCAGAGACATCTGTACTGACGAAATAAAACAGTGAGATGGGCTGTAGTTTTGAATCTTACTTACTTCACCTTTTGACACCTTACACAATTCGTGTAGGTAAGATATTATTGGATCAAGTCAATCAAAATTGATCTCAGACATAACTTGCACTTAACATTAAAAGGACCGTCTGGCTTTGCCAATATGATCTGATAATCCAATATTACAGTGAGTATGTCCAGAATAGACCAGGTAGCCCTCCCTTGTGTAAATACCTACTTACAGGCTCACCTGCCAATCAATGTAATACAAGATCAAATTTGATTGACATCCGTAGCGGATCTTTTGATCTTGTTACTAGAGAGTTGACCTTTGTTATAAGGTGTTCTGTTAAGCTTCGACTACCCAAATATACGTGATGGCATAGGCGGGGCGTGGATACATTGTTCACAAGGCCTCAAAGACCCTACGTTGACATTTCAGCTAAGCTCAGTTTACACATATAGCTGATGGCTTGGTTATTCTTATCTAAATGTTCGCTGCATAGTTCAAAGAGCCGCCTGATTTGGGTGCTACGTTGATGGGGCAACCCAATTATGTGCTCCCACAATCGCATATTTCACCGGTTATTACGCATTTAGATGTCGATTAGGACTGTTGCCGGCGTCTCGGTGTCTTTTGATTAGGATGAAACCTGTCAAGTTAGGCTATTATTCCAACATGATTAGATACCACTTTGCACCTATTTGCCAAGGTATTTTATATTGCCATTCTATAGAAATAAATCCAATCATAATCAATTGCACACAGAAAAGCGTGGAAAATTCGTAATCTTTCCAACACAATGCTTTTGTTGGATAATAAAACAATCATCATTGATGGAGCGATAATTTCCATAGAGGAATAGCCACATAGTGAATAACCCAATGTTTTATTCCTTTAATCATATGGCGTACACTGATGGGTCAAATGTGGAATATTCCCGAGGCTTCGCAATTCAGTGATGCATTTAGGTCTACAGATAGCCATATTTTTTAATTAGAAAGCCATATTTTAGTGTTACAATATAAACAAACACAAAATTATCGAGCATATTTTGAAACTCTCTTTTCATAGTCAAGCTACAAGCCATTGTGCCCCCCCCCCACTACCCCCCCCACTACCCCCCCCCCCACTGTGTGAGATTTCATACCCGTGTAATCGAGTAGCAGGGAAGACGGGGTCACAGGGGCTTGTAGTTAGACTACTCTTCATAGCGTTTACAATATTCAATCTTTTTTAATAACACTCATTTCTACCTATTTGTATTAATTCATCATCGGATGAAATCAAACCAAACTTACACATATATACAAATGTCGACATTTTGAACTCCGGAAACACCATGAGAACATGATGATCTGTCACATGGACTAACCTATCCCAAAATTCGTCACATGAAAATTGAATTACATCCTAAGGATAGTCAATGTGTAACCTGTCAGCAAACATGGGGGCTTTAACTGACCATTACCACAGCTCTCACTCAAACTAAACCACACCATTTCGAACAGCTACTTTGATCTTGTTTTTTCTCTGTCCATGATGTCCACTGTGAGTCAGAAGTCACATTCCGCCGAACCGCATGCTATCTATCACATAGACAGCAGTGAGATACAACTTCCACGACTGTCGCCACATTATGTGTTTGGAGATATGTAGTTGAAAACTATGGCGGAAAAATTGCTGGGAGATATGTGTGGGCCTCGTCAATCATCTAGAGTTGATATTAGAGACATCATACACCATGCCTGCCTTGTAATCTTGTCCATTTACCTGTCAAAATGACTTGTTATCATAAAGCTACAGAACACCGCATACCCTGCAGGACTTCGAAATCCATCTAAAATCTCTGCATTTATAACCGTATGAAAGCTGACTGACGGTGTGATACAACGGAGCGTTCCCAGGGAGAACGTGGTCTTTCTTGCCATGACGTCAGTGTAAGTGTATCGAACGCTGACACCATGTGATCACCAAAATGGCTTGTGGATTCTGCTTACTGCGGTCTGAGCAAGCTAGATTGGATCAGGTTAGGTTGGATCTGGACTATGTAAACGGTGAGTGCTAATCACACACTGATCAGGTTGGGTGTCGAGTTGCAATAAGTGTTTAGGATAAACGATAAGCATCTTACAGGAAAGCTTTGAAGTTCTACTTCAAATTGTCCAATCTGTCAACGTGGAGTTGTCAAGTCTTTCGCCACGTCAATCTCAATATGTTTTCAAACACCCAAATTGATAGATAAGAGGTCGACTACGGAGTTTGGTTTGAACAAATCCCCTTAGAATGGGATGTGTCAAACATCAACCATGGGTTTTCACAGCATGACACAGGGACACTTACCATTTCCTAACTTATATGTATGTTGAACACTTAAGATAACCGATCAATCAATATTACACCAGGGAATTAAATACCTTATTAAACTTGAGAATTAAATATTATTTAAAACACTTCCATTACTGATCGTTTAAAGTTTTCTCAAATGTATATCGAACTTTGTCCTATGCTGTACCGGTTTATACCTCTTTATATGTTGAATACTATGCGAACAAAAGCTGACATAAATCAAGAATGATTGACATAGATGCTGTCAAATTGATGGATTGCCAGTCGAAACATGCTGTCTGAGCCATAGCCTGCAGCGAATTGTAAGTCACTTTAGGATTGGATAGTTGAGGATCACGTGGTTCACTATTTGATGAGCAGCTGTCAAACCCTACGTCATCAGGCCACCTCTAGCCTATCACGATTCAAGCTATTCTTGATACCTTGCCGATTGGTTATCGGCGCATTGCTTTCATCTCTACCATACACAAGTGTTATTGGCACAATTTATGTTGTGTGTTTGAAGCATAAGAACGACATGATACATTACTGAGGCACATTGACTCGGGAAGCTACACAGAATCGACCTACGTCTTTTGAACATAAAAGTAACACAAGAATTCAGTATTCTCGTACAAAAGCGCAATTGGAAGAATTAGGAGTAATTGTAAAGGACGATACAAAAAGAGAAAGTTTAAAATTGTTTGAATATTCTTATTAGGATTTAGAAATCAAGATGTTGACATCGTCGGCATCTCAGTACTTACACCCGGACTATCTACAACCCCTACCAACAACGGTAAGTCAAATTTAAGAACATGAATTTGATCAACTAAAATACTAAAACATATTGAACCACCTCAGGTTTAACGTTAATATAACAAGGTCTGAAAAGATTCATCTTGTGAACAGTTGTTAACAAAAACAAGTTCTTCTTTCGTGACACCCACAGGTCTAGATACTTAGGGGGGCCCATTCGTCATACCGATGTGCAAGTTTAGTTAATAATCGATTGCATTCTCCTTAAATGTTTATGTAAACGCTGTTGGAATTATCAAATGAATGAAAGAAGGTGCAACTAGAACTTTAAGAATGCCTTCATTGAATTTTTAACGTATCTGTGTCTTATGCAAGGACGCGCCCTGGCGGTGAAAACATCTCTTAGAATGATTTTTCTAAATATGTGCGGCGTTTTTCCATTTAAATATCCTTCTATCACAAATATGATATTGCTACACACAGCTTATTTATTACTACAATTTGCTTTAAATATGTTCGAGTAAATTGGAAGTTCTATCTCTCTGGTCAATTTCTGAAAATTAATTCTGCCGTCTTGCATTGTACGATTCATCTAATCTGATATATGTTCTCTTTCTACTTGAATGTTATATCATTGCCGGCTGTTATTGCTATGATATTTCATTAAAGCTTTCATATTTTATTTCATAATATATAAATTATTAAGGATGGTGAAACCAGTAGTCTCTCATCAATGTCATCGTAAAATATAATTTTACTTTGAAAGTGAAGCAATCATATAAATCATTCATATTATCCTCTAGGAAATTTCGTGTCGTTGTTTCAGAAATATTTATGATCACCCCCAGGTTTGTTATTAATGTGTAACTTGGTCTATAATTTGTCATCCACCACATTTATTGCAAACCCCTTCAGCAGAAAAAACATTCTTTGAAGGGACATGCTATAAATCTACAATAAAATTATGCGTTTAATCTTGTTTTAAATTATTAATCATAGACATGCCAAAGGATGGAAACACGATAAGATATTGCTCGATTCAAAGGAATTTGATTTATTTGATTGCGTCAAAATATTAGTTTTATTTTATTGAACATTTCAAAGTAATATTCAAAGTCTAACGGCATTTGTTATCCATGAAAACTTTCTCTAAATGAAGTTGTAAACTTTGATTCATCATTTGTAAATTATAACGTTGATATATTAACTAAAAGAATTGAAATTGAATTCACTAATAATTTATGATGTTCTTATGTTTTACAGTTGGATGCTAAGAAAAGTCCCCTAGCGTTGTTGGCTCAAACATGCAGCAGTATAGGGAAAGACTCTCCAAGCTCCAAGAACATAATTCCACCATTAGAAAAGAAAGACAGAAAAAGTAGTTCACCAGAAGCTAAAAATGACGACAAAAGATCAAGTTCTGCAGACAGAAAAAGCCCAAAATCTCCTAAACCTGGTTTCCGAAGTATTCCACCTAAAGATATCCCTCCACTGGTCCCCATCAGTAGAAGTAGTTCCAGCTCCCCTGCTAGTACAAGTGACAAACACCCTAGTAGCGAATCTACTAGTACAACAAGCGTTATTCACCATCCAGTGACAGTTCCAGCACCTACATCTGGTCACCATAGTAACAGCAGCATCAGTTTGAGCTGCGGAAGTATGCGTCTCGAAGTTAACCACCACGAGGCTGCGTCCAGCAGTGGTGCATCAAAGTCATCAACCAGTGAAAGTAGTTCAAGCCATAGTGCGCATAGTGGTACCCCACTCAAGCCTTCCACCCACCCATACCCAGGCTCTGTTCCCAGTTTATACAGTCATCCATATGGACATAAATCAGCTCTAGAAGCAGCAGCTGCTGCGTATCAAGGACTCCCGAGTGCCCATGGTCTAGGACTACCTAAATTTGCACCAGGAGCCCATCCCCAAACAGCAGGACTTTCACCCTATGTGGCTTACGCTAGTGTAAAAACTGCCACCGGGGCAACAACTCTTGTTCCAATCTGTAGAGATCCATATTGCACGAACTGCCAGGTGACCATGCAGAACGCTCAACTCACCCCATCAGCAGCATGTGGGGCTGGCTGTACTCAATGTAACCACGAGAAATCTGTATCGGGATTACCAAGCGTTTCATCGAGTAATTTAGGACTTGGACTACCATCGGCATCTTCTATGAGCTTACCAGTGTTACCACTGGGGGCTGGGGCGTACAGTTTAGCTGGGGCGGCATCACTTGCGGGATCGAGTCTCCCGGGACTATACCCTCATAATCTCAGCCTTTTAGCTGCCCATGGACACCCTCCAATGCCGTCAGGGGGATATGTATGTAATTGGATGGCAGGCGCTGAATATTGTGGCAAAAGATTTGGAACATCAGAAGAATTGCTTCAACATTTACGGACTCATACATCTGCCAGTGAATCGGCATTGAACAGTCTTGCCTTAGCGGGCATGCACGGTGGTCTCTCATCTGCGTCAGCTCTAAGTGCTGCGTGTCATTCACATTACTCCACGCCAGGAGCACCTTTAAGTCCGAACACTTTAAGAAGATTGTACCCAACAAGTCTAAGTCCAAACAGTGCGCTGGCAGCAGCCAGGTACCATCCATACAAGAGTGCACTCCCGGCTGTTCCTCCTCAAGGACTCCCTCTTCCAGGGGTCGGTACATATTATTCACCGTACGCTTTGTACGGCCAAAGGTTGGGGGCAGTCGCACCCTGACTATAGGGACATGATATTTAGTTTGTATATAGTGTACAGTAAGAGATAATGTTTATTAGTGTGTGTATATTGGATTGTTAGTGTTAATATTGTACATAATCTGAACAAAGTTCGGTTATAAAACTAATATATAAATATATATGTATACTTCAGTTGCCAAGCATCAACGTTTGTCATATACGTTTTGTATTCCGTATTAAATATGGTAGATACGAGATCAAAAAGTGGATTAGCGATTATGCCAATTGTCATTTACTTGGTCAGAATGATGTTTAAGCCTTCAGTTTTGACAAGGCTCCTAGTGAGTTCACTCTTTATAAACATTGGAAGTAAGATAACAGAGTAAAATCACACTGGGAAAACACAGTTAAATTGACATAAGGGATAATATGCCCAGATCTCAAAGTGGGGGATCCCGTCATTTACTTTAATTACAATGGATAGTATTATGGGATTCAATTCGTAAAGATAAATGTGCAATACTATTTTGGAACCAGTTCATCAAATCATCAATTTGTTAAGTCTATCCGTTGGTCACGTGACAGAGTAGTATTAACTGTCAATATCAACATTTACTTCTTTGTTCAATTTAATATTGAAGTCATAAAACGTGCCGATATTATTGCGAAAGGCAATTTTTAATCAAATGCGTCAAGTTCCATTATTTCCAGCCCTTTACTTTGAACTAGTCATTTTTCATCGTTGAAGAGTAAGAGAGGATGTAACCCGTTTGATCACTACATTCCCTGTTGAGATTGATTTATTGCAGTGCTTCTAATTCATTTACTTCATTTTGATGTGAATGCTACTCCAAACTGAAAAGCCTTGCTTCCTATAGATTCATGCAATATATTATCATCACCTGACACTTTGGTCTCGTATCAAATGGCTGCATGTTACACATTATGTTCATTAAGATTTATTAATATCCTACACGATCCTAAAATATATCATGTAGATATCGATATGGAAGGCTTTCAAGAGGAGCACTTCAGAGAGAACTGGAGTTTCTTGTTATGTTACTGTTATAGATTATGTTCTTTATTTGATCTTTAAGATAGGAATCTACTTTATCAATTAGGCCTTGGCAACTGGTATATGGAGTATCGTCATACACCAAATGTAGATTTTCTTTTATTGTATATATTGAAAATGAAACTGCAGAGTTGATATGAAAATTAAATTACGTTACTAACTAGATATTATGCATATTTTGTTTATTTATTTCTTCATAAGTTTTACCAAGAGTAAACTGTAAAAGTAACTTGGCATAAATTATGTGATTATTGTCGACTTTAATCTGTTTATCAGCCAAATGTAACAAATAACTGGTGCACCACCCTTAGTACGAATAGCACCCAGATTCTTTATAATTCCCAGAATGCTATCATTTATCCATTTTTCATAATTAAATCTCTATCGTTTCCAATGAAGCATGTCGTATATCAGTTCTGTCATATACATCATCTCGTTTATTGTCTCTATGAGCCATAATAGTGGGATGTGTAACATTAATGTGGAATAGGTCGAATGATGGATGACACAAAGTGGATGCTACTATCACCCCTACCCATACATCACAGCAGTAAATGTTCACAATGAGCCGCTCGTAACAGATAAGGTTGGTTTATGAGACAAATATGATGGCTTTTATTTCAGGGAAGAACAATGAGTAATCAACCCCATATATAAACCTTAGAGCAGTTACATTCGAACTAACCACTTATTTTATAGTAAGACAAGCTGAGAGTCCATACACACGCAACCATCACCTAAATTCTAGAGAAAGACACTTTCGAAGACTTTCCCAGATATTTGGTGAATACGAGACACACGCGTTTCTTTTCAATCAACATTGGTCATAATGACGATAATTTAAATGACACCACATCCCATTGTAAATCATTCCACAACATTTTACCACTAACAACACATCAATCAAGTTAGTCCAACCACATCCAAACAACATATTTATCACAATTTACATGGATGATGTAGCCAAATAACCACACATAGCAGATCGGCCCACTGTGATAAATTTGGGAGTTGTAAGCCCCGGTTGCAAACTGTCAGCAATCTCAGAGGAAGCCAAATATTGCTGTGCTACTCTCAGTGGTTTACTTTTAAAAGTAGATGGTCCAATCCTCGACATAAAGAACAAAGCGGCCTCAGAGGAAGATTTTATTTATAATTCTGCCAAAGTTTGAGAGTTCGGAAGACGTATGAGCGCGGGTGTAACAGGCTGACAGCTGACGAAAACCAACCCCGGTGTGCTGTCAAACTTGACAAAGTGGAGGCTAACAATCAAAGGCAGAAGTCAAAGCACCACATTGTACCATTACTTACAATGATGAATCACCAGGAACCAATGGAGGGGCTCCAGTTTTCCCAGGTATCCAGTGTAGATCACATAACAATTTGCGGCCAATCAATTGCAGGGAACATGGTTTTGTACCATCAGATCTTGGGATTAAACGTTTTTCATAATTTCGAACATTGTATTATTGGTAATGTCTGCCAGAACAATCACTAACACCACTCTACATACATGTGTGGGGATACATCATCCAAGCATCATAAGCTTCACATCAGAAAAAACTACTTTTGAACGGCGTTTGATGTCGCATTTTCCCCCTTCATGTACATTTTTAAAGAGCAAGATCTAAGAAAATGACAAACAATCGGCTGTCAGAGATAAGTAACTAATGAAACCACTTGACCAAGGAAAGATAGAGTTTGATAAATCTGTCCTGTAATGAACACAAACATATCTGTATCCAATATGAAATGTATGATAGTGTATGGATCGGATTTCAGTTGACCAACAGCCATTCAGTGGCATTGGAAACAAAGTTTGTAACACTAGTGTGATTAGAAGACAAGATGATATGTAATGTATATATGCTCTGCGAAACGCCAGCTAGTCTGAACGGAAAGAAGGTTGGGTACCAGAACACGGTTGTTAATCATGAGTGAAGATTGATGTGGGGGTATTAAACACCACGTTAACATGATTGAAGAGGGGAGTACCTCATGTATCATTCCTAGCAACAACTTGGAAGTTTTAGTCAACTGGCTTTACCAGAGATTTGCATGCGTTATGGTAATCTGCATCCAGTAATGGCTCATTTGGAGGATATCAATTCAACTAACGTTCCCAAGACTATTGCTAAATTTGACTATTTCAGTCGTTAGGCTGAGATGCAGTTTATTATTTCCTCGCTTTTGGCGTTTCTTGATTTATGAACAAGGTTTTAAACAAAATTATATCACTGACAAATAATCACCTTGAAATGTACTTGAGTGTCATAATCTGGAGATAGGCGATAAATCCAAATCAGTAATCTAATCAGTTTTCGTCCTTTGTGTAATTAATTATGTCGTATATAGCCCCATGTGAATTACTTTTTTCATTTGGAAATGTTCCTTTATAGACGATACTATTATATCTATTGTTATTTCAGAAGATAAAGGAGGTCAGAGGTTAATGTCATTAAGTTGATAAATTACTGACATTGTGAGACCATGTTTAGATTGGTTCTAATACGAAGAGACAGTTGATTAATATATTTAGGTTCCCGTGAAGATAGAAGACACACAAACACCGTCTGGTCATATAGCATATCTAGTGGGTTCCTGAACAATGACATGTGATATGCGACCTTACTTGAATTTCCTTGGATCATGGGTGTATGATTCCATATATCTTCCCGGAAACATCAGAAGCAACACCAGGGAACCAAGAAAAATCGCAAACATATTGAAAAACAATTCAAGCCATTTCAATGAAGCATTCGAAATACTAGAACACGTACAATGCATGATATTGAAAGTTCCATGAATCAAAAGATATAACATGTTGAAAGAGTGAGTCACAACAGATTCACGTGGTCAGTAAATATTGATCATGAATACTTAACAATTACAAGATATAAGTTGAAACATGAAGTAATAGTGCTACTTTTGTTGACATTATCTGTTGATATGAATATTAAAAGTTTTACGTGTTTTCAAACGTTAATCTTTGTAGTTTTTATATGATTCATATATTGCGAAAATAACATACCTAAAAATACCAAATAATGGCCAAGCTTTCATTTTCCATAAATTTTTCACACAAGAGGTCTAACAAAATATGCACGATCAATCATCATGGAAATATAAAACATCATCTTAAATCATTACAAAAGCCTTCCCTTAGTATTACATGGGATAATATGAACTACTGATCATGAATATAAGTTAAATGTAACTTTAATGTAGGCTGGGAGCGCCATGATGAAGATAAATGTAGGGGAGGTATACAGGCAGCACCAGAGGTACGTTTGTGAACACATGGCTAGATGGGCACAATTAATCAACATCAACATCTCACAAAGCAACTATGTTCCATGCCTCGGGATTCTTTTACACGTTGGACATTAAAAAATATACCTGCCAAAAATGCCTTTACATACAAGTCATTAAGGGGTTTGATATCAGTAGCACATTTGTCATGATAGGCATTTAGTTTTAACATGGTTTGGAATAGAATTAAAATGGAATTCAGTTTGATTGTAGTGGTGTGTCACAGGTCAAAAGAGTCAAAGCTGCCGCTGTTGGTGAGTTATGGGGACTAATAACATTTAAAGTTAGCCCATTATTCAAATGGATTTCCTATAAAGCTACCGCCTGACAACCTGAGGGCCCTCCGACATTCATTGGCCCATTACATGTACACAATCACTCAGATTTAATTGACGAAAAAATGGGACGTAGAAATGTATTCTTGATACAATCCATAAAACACTAAGGGTAATACTTGCAAAACAAAAAAAAGAGACCTATAGAATGATATCAACCTGTCCCAACTAAACGATGTTAATAGACCGTAGCCCTTATAATGCAGCAAGTATGTTGCATGCTCCTGATCGTAAAAGACTCTTCACAAACAGTTTTCTGTGTAAGGCATGACTTTCTGGATAATCATGAAATAAAAATGCTCAAGTAGTATGTCAGCCATGACATACACTATGCATGACGGCTGGAACGTACCAGGTGAGTGAATATAATTGTCCGACTAAAACTAGCAAGAACTCTTCAAACCCCATCAATATGCTTTGATACCTGACAAGATGCTGACATCAAAGGTGCAGGCGCCATGAGAAGTGTTAATTCAGCTGACTGTGTCGACAAGGAGAAAAGCCGATCTGAGTCGATCAATCATGACAAATACAGGCTCTTGTCATATCCCCTCTAGAAGTTGTATGCGCTCCTGGGTTGAGGTACTACTTGAGCTGATCATGAAAGGAAAGCTATTACATCAATCAAACCCCCTCACATCGATCACAACTTCCTCTTACAGGGTATCCACAACAGGCAACATTAGATCGTGCAAAACAGTTTATTATGCTCAGATTGCAAAGGACAGACAGCCTCGATGATACATTAATTGCATGGTAAATTGGTACACATATCCAGTATAACTACCTTAAAAGCTAGATTATACATTCTTTTAGTAGCATAATAAAAACCTTCTTTGATGATCTTCGTCTAAATATTATTAAGTTGCTTTACCCTTGACTGGGCTATGTTTATAGCAACAACTTGACAGCATCCATGTGAACGAGTTACATGAAAGTTACCTCAGTAAGCCACGTTGGATTGTTATGAAAAGCAAAACTTTGCCAACAGCTAGAATCTGTTAAAGAAGTGTGTTTTGGCTCTGGGTGAGATACGCTTTGGATTAATTCCTTTGATCTCAAGTCAGTTAAGCTGCGTATATTGTCTATATATTATCATTTTGACATCCTGTCATGAACAACATGTTTAAATGGTAGATTTTATTAAAAGCAAACATATTTTAATATTGTTTTAGCGCGAATTATTATTTCATCTATAGACATATGCCAATTCAAGCCATACCTAGCGACTTAACGTCTTTATGTCTTCTGTTAATTAAATTAAACATAAATATCATTATTATATCCATTACAAAAAGTAGTGACAGCTGTGTATCTATGTATACAAAAACTTATATTGCATCGTGTAATGAGAGTCTCTTCTCATTTAGAGTACTGTTTATTAGAATTTATTGGCCAACCAAAATAACAGCCAGAGAAAAGAATTACTATATATATTATATAAGTACATTTTGTTGTGTATATTTCAGAGACATCCCTCAACATGCTTCATATAAAATTAAAACACTAGTCTCTTTG